CTCGCGAGTCGCGACTATTGTTGGTGCAACAGCTACATCAATCACAACAAGACAGGTAACTCCCCAAACCAAAAATATTTTATTAATTGAGTATTATGAGAATTTTTTTGAGTGAGCCATCCCTTAACATATTATAATTCAGCTTCCTCTACTATATTTTTTTTTTTTTTTTTGATGTTTTAGTTTTAGCTTCCCCATCCGAAAAATTTCTAGTTCCCCCCTGCTAGCAGACATGCCAGGAGAAATTTCCATTATTGCTATCGATTAATGATTATTCTTTTTATTGATACTTTGAAGTTTAGAATAAAAAAGAAAATCTTAATTTTGAGATTAAGAAAAATCTTAACTATGAGAATTTATAACATGCAGTTGCTCACTATGATTAGTTAAATAGTTATCATCCTCATCCCAAAACTCTCGCGTTTAAGTGTGGTGTTTAGGTATACAACTACAAAAGCCAGAGAAGCAGGGGGAGACAGCAAACGCATGCCATGTATGAAGTAGCTGGCAACGTGTCGGTGTTATTTTTTCTAATATTCTTTTTTTTTTTGACAGTTTATTATTGTCAGAAATCATAAACGTGAAATACCTGGAATTTTAAATTCTGAATTTTTTTGTTAACACAAAATCTAAGAAAAAAAGCTACTTTATTTTAAAGTGACCAAATAATTTTTTTTTATACAGTAATAGTCCTGAAATTTTAACATATGACCTCGTACTAATTATCCAAACCTTTATTCATTGGACTAACCTAATAGCTTCAAATAATTTTTCTTTAAAAGTGAATGTTACCCTCATTATATTATTTTATGATCATAATTCAGTATCGGACAAAACGCTCAACTGACAGCTTGTCGGCGGTCGGTGGACAATTGGATGAGGTGTATAAATTGTAGTTATCCAGCCAATAAAATATATATGTCAGACTTAATATGTCAGACTTAATTAGCCTAACATGTTGTATATCATAAAATATATATATTTTGTGACTTCCAACCGGGCTTTAGGTCGGGTTACTGGTATAAAAATGTATATTTTTTCTTGGACTTGTATTACACTTAACTAGTTAACCTTATAGTAATAAACCAAATATCATTTTGTATTGAATTTTGCTTAAGAAGATAATATTTTGTTGCCGTGTATGAAAAATATTGTTCGTGCCAACAAAAAGTTCTTTGTGCATGTGGGCCGTGGCCCAAATTGTTATAGTTTAGGCCCCTCAACAAATTAGTAGGCGGGGAAAAAACACCAATAATTTGAAATCCAACAAGAAGGATTTGAATACGAGGTTATTACAGTCATCTCAGAAAGAGGATAGCAAGCACTTTTTTTTTTTTTTGAAATATAGCAGGCACAAATTTAACCCACGCTTCGGTTTCAAATATTTATCATCCAAACATCGAAGGCCTAAGTGATAAAGTCACCATAAGGATCCACCACAATATTTTAACCTAAAATCTTAAAATATCTTTTTTTTAGGAAGTTTATATTTACAATTTATTTTCGTTTATAATTTCTTACAATCATATAATAAATGTTGATTTCTATTAATCAACAGCTATCATTATTGTGAATTAATAATTAATTAATGAGTGTGATTTGCGAAAATAATAATTATTGATTGACGAAAATCAACAGTTAAGTTATAGTTATAAAAAATTAATAAGTTGCAAGTGTAACATTTCTCATTTATAGATCTTTTTTTGGAAATATTTCAATCGATTCATCGCTTTGTGATTAGTCCGATTCGGGGCGGGTCCAGAATTAAGTCTTTAAAGTTTAAACCCCTCCAAAGATGATATTGAGGATGATCGATAACATGCTCTCGCCCCTACCTGATCAGCTTCCATGTACCATATTTAACTCATTTATATCCGATTTGGTTTTATGGCTTACACTTAATTCCCAACACTACTTCCGATTATCAAACAATGTGTCTCACACTCAGAGGCGGATGGAGATACATGAGAAGGGGGGCAAGTGTCCACCCTTGAAATATGATGTAAAACTATAAAAATACTCTTCTCTTAAAATTCAAGTTTTCAATTTAATTTCGGAATAGGATATTATAACAATTAATTAGGGTTACTACCAATGTTATTACCAATCAATTTCACCGTTAGATCGATTATGTTGATCCAACGGTTATATTTATTTTCATCTTTCTATGGTTATGATTCCCCATATTTAATACTTTATATTTATTTTCACCTTTGTATGGTTATGGTTTCTCATATTTAATGCTTTTACATTAAATATGTGGATCATAACCATACAAAGATAAAAATAAAAATAACCATTGGATCAACATAATCTATCTAACGGTGAAATTGATTGATAGTAACCCTAGTTGGTTGTTACGATATCCTGCCCTTATAATTTTACTCATTCTCTTTTATTTTTCCGTGAGTTTTTTTTCTTCTCCACTTTCATTATCCAAAAAAACCTAACAGCAGAGAGCTCTGTTCCAGACCCATTATTTGCATATACACACTGATTCATCTCCTCTCAAATCTCAATCTCCGTTATTGGAAGTTGAAACATTTGCTTCTTCCTCCATCATCGGTCCAGTTGAGTCCAATACGTCCAGATCTAGATCTAAACCAGACCTAGTCAGCCGACAGCTGCTCGCAAGTCGTATTTCGGACCAAACCTAAATCTATATGTACCTGAACTTGTTGAGTGTCCACCCTTCATTAATTTTCTGGATCTACAACTGCTCACACTTGAATGTTGTTTCCATTGTTTCTTATAATTGTCATTTTCTATATAAGCAATTGTTATCCTTCTGTTTTTCTTTTTTTGGTAAACTTTATCCATCTGTTTTTATTTAGTAATCCAGTGACTCAAAAATTCTGCTTTTTTTTTTGTGTGTGTGGTGAATCTCAAAATTCTCGCTTTTGTTTTGCCTTAGTATGGATTCCACAGCACATACATATCAATTTAGTTTTACTCCGCTTTGGTATTAATTATTAGAAATTTCAATTTAACAAGGATTTCATTGAAGTTAATATATTATATAAGGGAAAAATATTTCTCTATTTACTGAAGATAAAGTTATCTTCAGTGAATATAAAATGACATCATTTTGGGTTATAAAATTAAAAAATTATAATGATAAAAATTAATATAACTCTTTAATATATTATAATTACAAAAATATCTTGATTTCTGCCCAAAACAATATCATTTTGAATTAATCGAAAATAACTTATTTTCATTGACCGGAGAAATTTTTTACGCATTATATAAATGTAGTAAAAGGGCTTTATATTTCTTCTGCAACAAGAAAGGAGCACTACTTTCTGTTGAGACAAACAAATTCGATCTCATTGATTTTATTTTTTTTTAAAAAAAAGTAATTTACTTTTTGAAGTGAAAGTAACAAGAGATATAACTTCTCCAAATAACATATTACTACGTATTCCCCACAGTAACTTAAAATATTTTTCGATTGGAAAGAAAAGTCAACAATTAAATCTAACAGTTACTACGTATGAATAACACATTATGAATTTATTAGAAATCTCTAATTTGACATTTTTTTTCCATTAATAATTACTACTTGCACTTTGTTTTTTAAAAGTGCATCTTTTTGGATGATAATTTTTTACAAAAATATTTACATAATTTATTTATAAATTTGGTATTTGTCATTTTAAATGATATAAGTTATGTCATTTTAAGAGAGAGATAGACACAATGAATGAAAATCATGGGGGGGAGAGTGAGTGATTTTTTTTTAATTTAAATTTTAAATAAAAAATTATATTTTGTGTCTATATCTCTCTTAAAATGACATAACGTTAGGTAATTTAAAATGACAAACACTTTTCCCTTTATTTTGTTATAAAAGATAAATTTATGAATGAATTAATATTTTCTCACAAATGAGAATAATTTATAATATTTTTTGAAAAAATTCGTAAGTTCATTTTAAATAAACATATATAGTAATAACTTTAAAAAAAAAAAAAAAACATAGTAATAACTTATCGTTGTTGTCTACGCGATTTAAGCCTACGTTCTTTTAAAGAGTTTACCTGATGGGAAGTATATAGACTAGTTTTTTTTTTTTTTTTTTTACTGATGAGTGGATAAAATTGTAAAGACATTTTTATTAGAGAATTAAAATTAAAAAATTTAATGGTGTAATGAAAAAAAAAAACATAACTATGATTTATGGTTGATTAAAAAAGAATAATCTGTATGGCGGAAAACAGTTAAATATATTAGTAATTTTTATATTTATTTATTTTCAATTGCCAGCTGCCTTACTAGTTAATACACACTTCCAATTGGATTTGGTTCATTGTTATTAATTAACGTATTGATAACAGAAGAAATATTTAAATATTAATAAAATGGATTTATGGTACATTTGTATCATTTTTCGGTGTATCTCTTTTTTTTTATGGAGTTACCCAACTCTAATTACCTCTTTGAGGTGAGTTGGCTCCCTCCGGTATCTCCACAAGCTTCGACTCTTTGAGCCGGCTATGGGACTAATCCGGAGTGCGGGGGTCAGTGATGACTAAATGTTCAGCCCCCTCCCCAAGAATGCATACAGCGAGAAATGGAGATTTATTTTAAAATAATTATAATTAGAGGGTAAAATAAATTTATAATTTTAATTGACAAAATGAATTTAAATTTCTTTAACATATTTGTTTGAGTCATTACTTACTTAACTTAGAGCTCCAATCTAATAAATAGTTAACAGTATGTAATTACTTTAATAAATAGTGTCTATAATATTAGGCGCCGCGCATTGAAAGCACTTAAATTTTTATTTGTCCAAACATTCAGTATATGATAATATTCAGAAATTTAAAATTTAGAAAAATTCAGTTTCATACATTTCCAAACAAGCTTCACATACATTTCCGAACGTTACCCAAATCCATCTATTTAAATAAAATCTATGTCTTCCACTCCAAAGTTAAGTCACTTTTCAAAACTAGCCGTTACACTAAGCTTACCCTTCTCTCTCTCTCTTCATGGCAGCAACCTCATCGGAGACACCTCCTCCTCCTCTTCACCTCAAACAGGTTTATCCTCTTTCTTAAGTTCATGTGTTGCCATTTGTTATGTTTTTTACTATAATCATTTTTTTGATGACAGGACACAAACGTTGTTATGGGTTCTTCTTCTCCTTTGTTCAGCCCATCCTCCGATAAACGTTTCTGGAGCACTCTCCAGAGCAGGATTGACACGCTTCTTGATGGTGATAATCCCTCTACTCACACCCGTATGGTTAGTGTCAAATTCTGCTTGTAGAAAAATTTGATTGAATTCCATAAGATATAATGGAAAAAAAATAAAAAACTGAAATTTATTTATTTTATAGAATGAACAAGGAAACCAGTTGAAGGAAGATTCCTTGTTACTGATCAGAGGTTTTGACTCAGTTGCCCAAACACTTTCTCTGTTGTCTAATAATTTGGACAATGCTCTACAGGTATTAATAATAACTGTTAATGTTCAATGTTAACTGTTTGAATTCATGTTCAATGATAGATCGGATTAATGTTGTAGATGGAATACTAGATTGAATTTCCAATAGTGATGCAACACAAACATTGAAACTTTGAGCTGTTTATTTTTCTACAGGGTGCCAGAGAATTAGCTCATCCACCCACTTTAACTGATATATTCCACAGCAAATTTAATAAGGCAGAAAACAAAGAAGAAGAGGATTCAGGAGAGCAACAGAAAGTGGAGGAGTCAAAGCAAGGAACAAAAAGGAAATGTGATCACAATGATTTCTCCGAAGAAGTTGGCATTCACTCACAAACGGAGAATGGGCAAAAAATGCAATATAGGAACATTAAGAAAGCAAAAAATGTTGGTGTTTTTGTGTAAACTATTACTGAGTTTTGTTATTTGTAAATTCGTTTACCAAAGTGGCTAATTGTTTACTTACTTGCACTATCCAGCTTGCAGTTTCAATGGCAACAAAAGCAGCTTCACTTGCAAGAGAATTGAAGTGTGTTAAGTCAGATCTATGTTTTATGCAAGAAAGATGTGGTTTGCTTGAAGAGGAGAACAGGAGACTGCGTGATGGATTTGAAAAGGGAGTTAGGCCTGAGGAAGATGATCTGGTAAAGAATCTATAATATTGCAAATTTGCAATTGGTGTGACTAATCTGAAAAAACATACATAATCTTTTGTGATCATGGTGACTGCATGCAGGTGAGGCTTCAGCTGGAAGCCCTTCTTGCTGAAAAGTCCAGATTGGCCAATGAAAATGCAAATCTCGTTAGAGAAAATCAATGCCTTCACCAGCTTGTGGAGTACCACCAACTTGCCTCCCAAGATCTATCAGAATCGTATGAGCATGTTATCCCGGGAATGTACTTAGACTTCTCATCTCCACCGCCGACAATTGCTGAAGATGGCGATGATGACAAAAATTGAGAACCACAAACACAACCCGGAACGATGTCTACAAGTTTTCTACTACTTCACTTGATGATGGAGAAGAGTAAACTAAAATTTTATGCACCATCATCAATAACATTCCTTGTAAGGATGCTGCTAATATTCCTCATATTTCAATGAAAATAAATTTTTTGTAATCCAGACCTATGTCTACCCGTCATAGTAAATATTTTTTGTAATCCTATCGCCTCATTTATATATCTCTCACATGTTCCCTCACACGAGAGTCATTGGACTTGAAGGATGGACAATACAAAAGCTCACCATCAATAACATTCCTTGTAATGATGCTGCTAATATTCCTCATATTTCAACCGAAAATAAATTTTTTGTAATCCAAACCTATGTTATAAATATCTTTTTTTATCCCAAATAATAATAAAGTGATAGCATTTTCTCCTAATGATGTTGCAAATATTTCTAGTAATCACACTAAAATATAAAATTTTGAATCCAGACGCATGCAGCAGCAGCTAAAATGAGAGAGAAAAATCGTAACCACAAACAATTTCAAACGCAACAGATATTCATCATCATGCAAACAGGTTCAAATGATTATTAACACCACAAGTTCCAGGTCTTGATACAATAAACAATTATACTGCTTTCAAAATTAGACCTGGAACATGGGAACCACATACAAAAGCAACAGAAATCCAGGTTCAAATGATTAAACGCCACATACACAAACATAATTGTGTATAAACAGGTTCAAATGATTAACACCAAAAGTTCCAGGTCTTGATACAATAAACAATTATACTGCTTTCAAAATTAGACCTGGAACATGGGAACCACATACAAAAGCAACAGAAATCCAGGTTCAAATGATTAAACGCCACATACACAAACATAACACACTGGCGTCAGGTTCAAATGATACAGATTTTATATTATACATCAGCTTTTCGCTTTCTTTTAGCTGCAGAAGCTTTGTGGATTGCTTGAGTCGATGCATTCACAGCCACTTCAGTAGTTTTTGCCAGATTTGAAACCACAATAGCATTAACAGTATCCTTCATTTTATCCAATACTTCAATCAAAACACGTTTCTCCTTCTCATACTACAATATAGAATTATCAAGGATATATGGTCAGAGATACATCAAATTAACTAAACAATTTAGTTACCCAAACAATATAGGACCAAAAATAAAATTTTAAGTATAATGATGCACTAAATAATAATGATGCAACATACCATTTCAATTTTGCCAACATAACAAATCAATAACAATCAAGATGACACTTGTGATATTCAAAAGATAAGGCGCTACATCAGTAAGAACCATTTTGAAAAATATTTTTCATCTTATGTGACGTCGGTCTCTTGCTCCTTTACTAGAAGCTACGTTTCAATTTTGCCAACATAACAAATCAATAAAAATCAAGATGACACTTGTGATATCCAAAAGATCAGGTACTAGTAACAATGTAGGACCAAAAATAAAATTTGAAGTATTGCAGGAAAGGAAGCAACCCCAATAACCATTTTAAAAAATGTTTTTCATCTTATGTGAGGTCGGTCTCTTGCTCCTTAACTAGAAGCTACAGTTAATGAAAGAAGCACTAAATGACTGCTCATTGAAAAGATAGTTCTTCAAAACACTAGATATTTGTATATACTTTTTCTTCTTAAAGACGTTATTAACAAAAATGACAACCAATGACAGGGGCAGGGAGAAGGAAAAAGAAAAATATTTACAAGCAAATAGATTGTTATATTGGATACTAATACATTTTGCAATAATAACAATCAAAATGCAGCAGGACAAAAATAATAATGAAGCAACATACCACTTCAATTTTGCCAAGAGCATTTTCCAGCTTTCCAGTTAGTCGTTGATTTTCATCTGTTAAAGCTTCAAGCTGCACATATATGCAAGGCAATAAACAGAATTAATTCAAAAATAGAGGAAAATCAGACCAAAAACAAAGGGTAGAAGCTTAAAAGATATGCATTAGAAAAATAAATGGAAAAAAACCTTTTTTTGTGAGTCGGTCCGGTAACTTGTCGATGTCATTGATGGGGCTTCATAGAAGCCAGGATTCTCAGGTACCTGCTACGTGTTCAGTAAATGAGTCAATGACACAAGCCATGAATCACAAGAAAAATAACAATAACAAGGAGTCATGAGATTAGGCTTATTAGATACCTTGGACTTCAACAATTCCACGATCTTATTCAGATCTTCTATTCTTTGTAAGGCATAGTCAACTTTTTCATCCAAGCTCTTTTCACTCATATTTTCTGCCGGCTCCGGCTCTGGCTCTGGCAATACTTGCTCTATTTGATTATCTGGTTCATCTTTCTCACTTTCGCTAGCAGTTATATCCTCAATGTATTCAATGCCACAGCTTGAGCTAGGGGGATGAACAACGGTACTTTTAATGCGTTGGGATCGCCTCACAGATGTACCATGGTATTTGGACTTTTTCCTTAGGGATGTAGCAGACTTCTTTTGATGCTCATATTCACGAATTACTTGCTCTAGTGCAGGGCTTTTATCATGACATGTATCCAATCCTTCCATGGAGGAATTTGGATACTTCAGTGGGGAACACCTAAGGTGTGGATTTTCATGCTGAGAGTCTAATGCCCCTGGCGATTTTATGTTTCCATTGGAAGGCAGCGGTTCCTCTCTCCCTTGATAAGGATGTTTATTTTCAGGCTTTGAGAAGAGCAGAAGTCAGTAGTGAATAAAAAGATATGATTCTATTTGCTCAGTTTCTTTGATCATAGAATTCCATAGGTGACAAAAATAGTATATATACTCATCTATGTTTCACATTTTAAAATAAGACAAGCTAAATGAACAACCTCAAGTTATCACACGCTTCCTTGAAAACACCATTGTAGAAACCTCCAAAGGGTAAAGGAAAAAAGCAAGCTTTCCCCAGAGAAAGTGCAAATTGATGTCTATTTGACAACACACCCTCAAATGCAAATTACAAACTCATCTTTCCTCCTAATCCCAGAATTTCTCTAATATTCATTCACCATCTATGCTAAATTGCAAAACAAATTCTTGCTTCTTAGGGGGGAACCGCCTCTCCCTCAAAGGGTGATTAGTCTCACCCTTCTTTCTGTGTCAGCGGCTCAATGCACCATTTGTTTCAATGAAGAGCTAGTTTTAGGGGTCGTACTCCGAAAACAAGATAACCGGAAGAAGTTGTGTGGGATATCTCCAGGTTATCTAATTTTTTTTTTTCCAAAACCCTAACCAAAACAAAGCTTTAGTATGATGCATGCAGACAACGCCATAAGGTAAAAAAAGAAAAAAAAAAAAACTCCCCGTGAATACAGCAATGAAAGCAACATTAAGAACATGGTCAATGCGAGCATAACACATGCACAAAGAAGCTATCGAAATTCTAGCACCCAAACAAGAAAAAAACAACAGAAAATCTATGAGGATTAGAGAGAAAAGCATGGTGAATACAAGCACAAAGATAAAACACAAAAATAAGCATGGCATTGTTGTACCATAAGAACCTTGTCGTTATTCTTGGCAGCACTTAGTTTTCGAACCATCTTCTCTCGCAGCGATGAAGTGAAAAAAGACGCTAGCACTCCCCTCTCACATTTTATTGGGATTTGAAGGGGCAAACCAACACTACGTTTAAAAGCCAAATGGCATAGAAGATTATAGGACAAAATACTAATTAGAGAATAATATAAATTAATTTTTTTTTATGTAATATTTAAAGTTTTTTTTTGGGTTGAAATAGTTTTTAACATGATATTAGAGGTTAAGAGTTTGATTCTCAATGTTTCCCACTTTCGAGTAAAATTAAAATAAGAGTTCTTGTGTGAGGGGTGTGTTAAAGAATAACATAAATTATTTAAAAGATGCTTACCCAACACCTTAAGATTTCGAGTTGAAATAATTTTTAACATCAAGTATCAAGTGACTGTTATGGGAGTTTTTTTTCTTTTCGTAAACCTTTTGGGAGATTTTTATTTTAACTTCTCTTCTCTATACAAATACGAGTTATGCCAAATAAGTTTTTATAAAAATTCTTATAATATAAAGAGCTTTTTTTATAGGGTTCGATTATTCTCCCGTTATGAAGATTTGTTTTTCTCCTGACAACTTGAGATGGGTCTCACTCAAATAGAAAAATGGAAAACAAAATCAAGATGGAGTCTATGTTATTTTTGTGTCACGTACATGAGAAAAAAATTCTTCATTAACAGGAGAATATATTACCCCTTTTTTAAAAACAAAGGAAAAAGTTAAAAGTCAAAAATTTTTGAGATAAACTTTTTTTAAAGTTGTATTGGCTTTTTTTGAAATATGTTTTTTTTTAAATGAACAACTTTTAAGTAAATTTTAAGCTAAAAGTTGTAAGTCTATTTGATTTCTCTTTTTTTTAAGCTAGAAGTTACTTTTAAGCTTAAAAGTAGGATTGGCAAAACGGCCCAACCCGGCTCGACCTGGCCCAACCCGTATACAACCTAAAATAACGAGTCGAGTTAGAGTTGGCTAAAAAAAATGAGCTAGAAAACCCAACCCGACCCGAGTCAGGTTAGGGTTGGCTCAAAAATATGGCTCGCGGGTTGGCTCGAAAATTGCTCGCGGGTTGACTAATTTTCAGCCTATTTAAATGAACCTGTAGTATTAATGCATCAGCTTTGTGGCTTCCATGAGCTTAAACAAAGGTCTACAAAATGAGAAATAAAAGCAAAATATTCTAGTTTCAAATTTTCTTCACAACAAATTCGCACCAACATCAAGAAATAATCAGATCCACTTGTTACCAAGTGGGTAAGATATTTGAACCAAACAGAGCCAGCATAGCCGAACAATATAAAAATGGTAAGGATGTGAGAAGATTAAGAAGTTAGGTATAGAGAAGGAAGAAAGACAATGACAGCATGCGTGGATTTTGTCCATTTTTGCATATTATATTTTGGTTTTTTTATATAAAAAAAAACTCAAATCGCGAGCTGACTCGTTTGACCCACGGGTTGGCTCATTTTTTTTCGAGCTGGCTCGAGTCGGGTTAGCAGCTATTTTTGCCAACCCAACCCGACTCATTTTTGACGAGTTACGAGCCAACCCGTTTTTGCCAACCATACTTAAAAGTTATTTAAAAGCACACATTTCAAGAAAAACCTTTGTATCTTTATCTCTATGGCTCTTCATTTAAAAAAAAATATAATTCAAGAAAAGTTAATAAAAGCTTAAAAAAAAGCTCCTCCAAGGAGCTCTTGGCTTTTTTCTTTATTATAAAAAAAGAGTTTTTCATTTTAAAAGCTTTTCTCAAAATCTGTTTGGCCAAGCTTATGCGTATAAGGAGAAGAGAAACTTAAAAATAAGAGGATCCATGGATGCATGCAAGTGTCTTAGAAAAATTCGAATTAATTTTTTCCTGACGGACTGTATGTACATATAGGCACTAATCAGACATGATGAATCGCAGCCGGCGAACCGTTACGACCGACGGTAGCTGACCGAATTGAGCCGGTCAAACGGCGGCTGCGGCAGCAATGCTCGCTCGTGTGGCACCAAGGCCCACATGCTTCCTCTTTTCTCCACAAAAGTGGTGTGCCTAAAGGGGCAAACTAGGTAGGTGAGGTAGAGGCTTATAAACCCTTCCATTTCTCATGTCTTGTCCAGTGTGGGATTTCTACCTACACACCCCTTTCACCTTCCATTTTCTCTCATTCTTCAACCCACTTCTTATTCATAACCAATGAGATTTAGATACAAAATCCAACACAAATTTTTTGTGAATTAAAACATATTAATTCAAAATTTAATATAATCTATATCTTTATTGTTATTAGTATTTTGCATGCAATTAATCAAATAGTACAAGTTATCGGATTTTTTTTTCCACAATATTTGTAACTTGATTTAATGATTAATAAAAGTTAAGATATTTTATGATTTTCCATTGAGTTACTTTTTTTTCAATATTTATACTATTTGAATAATAAGTAAAGTATTTTTAAATTATTCCTTAATTTTTAGTAAATCAAACACATTTGCAGTAGTGTGGATTGGAGATGTTTAGTACCAAAAGTTTACTGGTGTTATTGTATTACTCATGTTGCATATGTCATAAATCGTCTCATCACTCCTGTCCTCACAAATAAGTCTCCCTATGAGTGTTTATATGGTACTGTGCCTTCCCTTCTTCATTTGAAAGTCTTTGGTTCTTTATGTTTTGCATCCACTCTTACTCATAACCGTTCAAAATTCACAGCTCGTGCCAAGAAATGCACATTTCTTGGTTATAAGTCAGGTACAAAAGGTTATGTAGTTCTTGATATGGAGTCAAATGTTATTTCCATTTCTAGAAATGTTATTTTTTATGAATTTCATTTCCCTTTCACACAGTCAAGCAAGTCTGACTCTATCCCTTTTTGTATTCAATCATCTGATATTGTTTATGATGGACATCCTAACACATCTGTTTCACCTGTCAATTCTTCTCATGCTCCATCATCTATAGTCTCCTCTGATCACAGTTCTCCTCAAGTCTCCTCTGATCTCATTACACATGATCAGGCTCCCATCATTTGTCGTCCAGCTGAGTCTAATATTCGAAGATCCACAAGAACAAAGTCCAAACCTCACTATCTAACAGATTTTCATTGTGGTTTATCAAGTATAACAAGTGCCAATACATCCTCAGGTTTGGTTTCTGGTACACCCTATCCCCTATCCAATGTTCTGTGTTACTCTAAATGCTCACCCTTTTATACAAGTTTTTGTAGTAACCTCACCATTGAATCAGAACCAACCTCCTATAAACAAGCAGCTCTCCTTCCTCACTGGCACGATGCTATGCAGAATGAGCTTCATGCTTTGCAACGAAACAATACTTGGTCTATAGTTGAATTACCTCCTCATAAGAAACCCATAGGCTGTAAATGGGTTTACAAGATCAAAAGAAAACCAGATGGATCTGTTGACAGATATAAAGCACGCCTTGTTGCTAAAGGCTACACACAATGTGAGGGAATTGATTACTTCCAAACCTTTTCACCGGTTGCAAAAATGACCACAGTTCGCACCTTACTTGCAATTGCTGTAGCCAAGAACTGGAACTTGGAACAACTAGATGTTGATAATGCTTTTCTACATGGTGAACTTCATGAGGAGGTATTCATGTCACTTCCACAAGGTGTTCATTCCTTAATTCCCAGTGCTACTTGTAAACTTCAAAAATCCTTATATGGGTTGAAGCAAGCAAGTAGACAATGGAATGCCAAACTCACTCAATCACTTCAACTATTGGGATATACTCAATCAGTTGCAGATCACTCCTTATTTGTTCGAAAGTATTCTGACTCCTTTACAGCATTACTTGTATATGTTGATGATGTTGTACTAGCCGGCAATGATGCAGCAGAAATCAAACGGGTGAAAACTGCTCTTCACAATCAATTCAGAATCAAAGATCTCGGTCCACTAAGATTTTTTCTGGGATTAGAGGTCGCACGTTCTGCACAAGGCTTAATTCTCAATCAAAGGAAATACACACTGGATTTATTAACTGATTCTGGTCTCCTAGGAGCAAAACCAGTTGCTACTCCTCTGAATGCCTCAATTAAACTCCATCAAAATCAAGGAATACCTTACAGTGATCCTTCTGCTTATAGAAGACTTGTTGGTAGGTTGTTGTATTTAACAACTACCCGTCCTGACATCACTCATGTTGTTCATCAGCTGAGTCAGTTCGTTTCTAATCCAATGGATGAACATCACAATGCTGCTTGTCACATTTTACGTTATCTGAAAGGTTCTCCTGGTAAGGGTCTTCTATTTCCAGCATCCAATTCTCTTCAGTTGTCTGCATTTTCTGACAGTGATTGGGCATGCTGCCCTGATACACGCAAATCTGTCACGGGTCTATGCATTTTCCTAGGAAATTCCTTGATTTCATGGAGATCCAAGAAACAAAGCACAATCTCCCGAAGTTCCTCTGAAGCAGAGTATCGAGCGCTTGCTTCTGTCACTTGTGAAATCCAATGGATGGCTTATCTTCTTAAGGATCTTCATCTTCCTTTAGCCAATCCAGTTTCGGTTTATTGTGATAATCAAGCTGCCATGTATCTTGCTCATAATCCCAGTTTTCACGAAAGAAGTAAGCATATTGAAATTGATTGTCATATTACTAGAGACAAGATCAATTCCGGTCTCATTCGTTTGCTTCCCATTTCCACTAATCATCAATTGGCTGATGTTCTTACCAAATCTCTACACCCATCTCCTTTTCGAGAAGTTGTTTCCAAGCTGGGGATGCTTGATCTCCATCTCCCACCTTGAGGGGGGCTATTACCAGTGAAGTGGTGAAATGAATATGTAGCCACGTCACTGTATTTTAAAGCTTTGATGTTAATAGTCAATTGGTTAGTTTTCTGTTATTTCAGTTCTTTATTGTTAATTCTCCACACGTGTATTAGTTGAGTTCATGTATATAAGGTGAACAAATTACACTTTTCAGTTTAATGAGAATATTATCCAATTCACAATTTCCTCTTCCTTCTTTCATCTTTCTTTCTTCTTCTTCCTTCTTCTTCAATTTTAATAGGAGAGATTATTTCTTTCTCATGTGTG